CAGGGACCCCGCTGAGCCTGGCCCAGCTGTGCAGGCTGGCCGTGCGCAGAGCCGCCGGCCGCCGAGGGCTCCCCGAGATCTCGCGGCTGCCGATCCCACCCCGGCTCATCCAGTACCTGTCCTACAACTGAGGGAGCCTGGAAAAATCCTGGGAATGCCAGGAAAAAACACTGGGATTGCCAGGAAAAAAATCCTGGGATTGCCAGGAAAAAATCCTGGGATTGCCAGGAAAAAAATCCTGGGAATGCCAGGAAAAAATCCTGGGATTGCCAGGAAAAAATCCTGGGATTGCCAGGAAAAAAATCCTGGGATTGCCAGGAAAAAAAACCCTGGAATTCCTAGGAAAAAAAACCCTGGAATTCCCAGGAAAAATCCTTGGAATTCCCAGAAAAACCCCTGGGATTGCCAGGGAAAATCCATTGGAATTCTCAGGAAAAAAACCCTGGAATTCCCAGGAAAAAAAACCCTGGAATTCCCAGGAAAAATCCTTGGAATTCCCAGAAAAACTCCTGGGATTGCCAGGAGAAACCCTGGGATTCCTAGAAAAAATCCCCTGGAATTCCCAGGAAAAAAACCTTGGAATTCCCAGGAAAAAAACCCCTGGAATTCCCAGGAAAAAAACCCTGTAATTCCCAGGAAAAAAATCCTTGCAATTCCCAGGAAAAAACCCTGGAATTCCCAGGAAAAAACCCTGGAATTCCTAGGAAAAGTCCTTGGAATTCCCAGGGAAAAAATCCTTGGAATTCCCAGGAAAAAAATCCTTGGAATTCCCAGGGAAAAACCCTGGAATTCCCAGAAAAACCCCTGGAATTCCCAGGAAAAAAAACCCTGGAATTCCCAGGAAAAAACCCTGGAATTCCTAGGAAAAGTCCTTGGAATTCCCAGGAAAAAAATCCTTGAAATTCCCAGGAAAAAAATCCTTGGAATTCCCAGAAAAAAAACCCCTTGGAATTCCCACAGCACGGGGAATTTCTCCTTCTCTTCTACCTCCCCCCTCCCCAAATCCATTTTAATTTAATTTAAGGCACTGCTGTAAATAGGATTGGTCAGGAATTCCTCTTTTCCATCGAGTTTTTGTTTATTTTGGGGTGGGGGGGGGTTTTTTTGGGATTTCTGGAGTTTGCTTGGAATTTCCCAGGGGGGGGAATTTTGGGTTCTTCCCTCCCTGGATTTTCCTGGATTTCCTGTGGGATCCAACAGGGGGGGAGGGAAATGGGAGAACTGTGGAGTGGGAATGATTCCAGCTGGGAATTCCATGTTCTGGAGCTGCTCTCATCCCATTTTTGTCCCATTTCAATCCCAGTTTCATCCCATTTTTATCCCATTTCAATCCCATTTTTATCCCATTTTTATCCCAATTTAATCCCATTTTTATCCCATTTAAATCCATTTCCATCCCATATAAATCCCATTTTTATCCCATTTCAATCCCATTTAAATCCAATTTTATCCCATTTAAATCCATTTCCAGCCCATTACTATCCCATTTAATCCCATTTCAATCCCAGTTTCATCCCATTTCCATCCCATATAAATCCCATTTTTATCCCATTTCATTCCCATTTTTATCCCATTTCAATCCCATTTTTATCCCATTTCCATCCCATTTCAATCCCATTTTTATCCCATTTCCATTCCATTTAAATCCAATTTTATCCCATTT